GTTCTGTTATTTCATTGTTTGTTTTTTTTTTTAAGACAGGGTTTCACTATGTAGTTCAGACTGCTTTGGAACTCACTGTGTAGCCTGGGCTGGTCTTGAACTCGCAGCAATCCTCCTGCCTCAGCCTCCTGAGTGCTGGGATCACAGGTGTGTGCCACCATGCCCAGCTTGTTTTTGGTTTTTTGTCTACATGATCTGTCTATTTGTGTCGGTGGAGTATTGAGGTCCTCCACTACAATTGTATTAGTGCTTATTTCATTTTTCATATCCATTAATGTTGGGGGCATTAGTATTCAGTATATATATGAGTTTCATTTCTTCCTCTTGTTCCTTTTACAAATATGTAGGGTCTTCTTTGCCTCTCTTAATTCATTTTGGTTTGAAATCTACTCTGTCTGCAAATAAGATAGCTACCCCCACTTTTTTCTGGGCTCCTGTCACATGGAGAACTGTTTTCCATCCTTTTACTCTCAGTCTATGAATTTCTTTGTGGATTAAGTGGGTTTCTTGCATACAGCGTATTGTTGGATTTTGCTTCTTAGTCCATTCTGCCAGCCTATTTCTTTTGATTGGTGAATTGAGGTCATTAACATTGATGGTTATAACTGTTATGTACTGACTTCATTATCATGTTATTTTCCTGTTGTTGGTTCTTTTTTTAAAAAAAATGTTTTTCCCTCTCTCCGTTTAATTTCTTGCCTTGCCTATATTAGCTCTGTTGGCCCTTATGGAGTTGTGGTGTACATTTTCTTTTTCCAGGATATTGTTTAGAAGTGTTTGAAATGCCAGTTTGGTGTTCATGAAATTTCTCAGATGTTCTTTGTCGTGAAAGTATGTTATTTCTCCATCAATTTTGAGAGAGTTTTGTAGGATACATCAGTCTAGGTTGGAGTTTATTTTCTTTTAGGACTTCAAATACCTCACTCCAGGCTCTCCTTGACTTGAGGGTTTGTGTTGAAAATCTGCTATGATTTTGATGGGCTTTCCTTTGCATGTGATTTGTTTCTTTTCTCTAACTGCTTGTAGTATTTTGTTCTTCTGTTATATTTCCAGGATCTTGATTATTAGATATCGAGGGGTAGATTTTTTTTTGAGCATGGCTAGTTGGAGTCCTATGTGCCTCACTTATCTGTATGTCAAATTCTTCCCCTCCGTTTGGGAAGTTTTCTGTCATTAATTCTGTAAACAGTTTTTTTAATGTCATTTGTACTTTCTCCTGCTACCTCATGGATTCCTATCAGTCTTAAATTATTCTTCTTTGCATCATCTAAAAATTGTTGGATTGACTTCTCATTGTTCCTTATTGTTTTGAGATCACTCTTTCATGGCCACTGACCAAAATCTTATCTTCTATACCTGAAATTCTATCTTCACATTCATTTATCCTGCTGTGAATGCTTTCTACAGAGTTTTTACCTGGATATCTGAATCTGTTTCATGGATTCCATTTCTTTCCTATGTTGGGCATTTAAGGTTTCCACTTCTTTCCTATGCTGGTTATTCATGGTTTCTATCAAGGTCCTGAGCTCATTTATTTTATTATCTGTTTCTGTTCTAGAGTCTCTAAACATGTCTTTCATTCTTCTCGCCATCTCTGTGGTTATCTGGGAAATTATTTCTGTTCTGAATTTTTCTAGAGCCTCATTTATCTGGTGTTTTTTTTTTTTTTTTTACTTCCTATGCTATCAGTTCAGGGTTCCAGATAGTTGACTGTCAGACTTTTCCACCTCATTTACCCCAAGGTTTACTTTTAGTGAGGTGGAAGTCTGTATTTGTGCCTTGTTTAGATGTCTTCTTATTTCTATTTTTATTGTTGTACTGTCCTTAGCTTAATTCCTGGGTTAGTACTTCAATCTTCCAGATATAGCTGGTCTGTAGGTTTTGAGTCTGTAATGACTCTGAGGCAATCTTATTTTCATTTATACCAGGGAGGACAACTGATTAGATCAATCATAGCACCTTAGCCCAAGTGATACAATCAGCAACACAATAGCATCAAGCACAGCTTAGAAAATGACATTGTGTGGTAGTTATTAATCTATCACCTTTAACTGTGTGAATTAAATAAAAATCAAGTACCAGCCCAAAATACATTTATAGTGAATAAATTCTTCAATATAGCAACTTTACCCTTCAGGATGGGGATTTAGAAGGAGTTGGGGAGGGAGGGGTAGATAGATAGGATAGAGAAAGGTTAGAAGTGAGGTCAGAGGACACAGGAAAATCACACTAACTCTAGAAAGCTGTTGAAGAGAAGAGGAGAAGATAGATCAAAATGTACCCAAGAACAGAACAAACTAACAGCAACAGGGAGGCTAGAGGCTGTAATCACTTTCTTTTAAAACTAATGGCAATTGAGAAAAGAAAAAAGAGAAGAAAAGGAAAAGAAAAAATTAATTTGAATTAGGATAGGAATAGGAACAAAAAGGGAGAGAAATGAAGATCAAGGTGGGAGAGTGAAACAGAGAGAGAGAAAGAAAAGAAGGTAAGAAAAAGAAGATAAGTAAAACATTTGAGAAAAGAAGAAGATAGATAATTTTTTTAAATGATTAAAGATGAGAAAAATATTGCTGTGAAAATAAAAAAATACAAGTTGAAACGGAGGGCCTCCTTCAGGGTATGCCTCTGCTGACACAATAGACAGTGTGGGCAGGAGTGTGCAGGTCTGAGTTAATTAGTGTCAGCAAGTCAGCAGCTGTCCCCTGAGGTTCAGGCTGACTTCCGTCTGCAAGGACCAAGTTGAGATCTCTGACCACCTGCTGGGTTGAACTCTGCAAGGTTCTACTGTAGGTTCTGGCTGTCTTTCCCTGAAGTTAGACCAGGTTCTTATGTGAGGTACTGGTCCATTTGATTTATCAGCTATGGTGGTGTGGTGTGCTTTTATCTTAGATTTTCTTCACTTTTCCAGTGAGCTTAAATTTTCATCTAGGAGCCTCAGAGAGGCCCTCTTTCTCTTGTTCATAGGGAGTGGGGACACACACACACACACACACACTGTTGTGCTGGCGCTAGTCTCCTCTGCCTTGCTGGGCCGAAGAGGTGGACCTACCAGAGAGGGTCTACCAGAGGGTCTCATGCTGCTTCTTTGCCCCTCTTTTGCTCTGTGCCAAAGAGGTGTGGCTCACTGTTATTAGCCAGTGAGAAGCACAGGGGAGGGGTAGTGTACTTTTCCTGGAACAGTGATCTGCAGTAAGCATAAGGTAGTAGTATGAAGAACAAATTTAGCATCACAAAAGAAACAAGTTCCCTGCATCTGTGTACTTGCTTTTTCTTTGCTGTCCTTAGCAGATGTTGTCTTGTCTCAGGAGTGCTGGGGTTATGGGATTACATCCCACCCAGCCAGGAAGTTTGCAGCCTTCCCCCAAAACTTCCCTATTTCTGAAGCAACCAACATCCACCTTGTGACTGTGGGGCCTAGAGTTTGGCTCCCACCAGTCTATACTTATGGCTGATCTACAACAGAGAAACAACCCAAAAGCCTCCAAAATCCAAAGAAGGAAAGATAAAAATAATTTTTTAAAAAATGGAAAAAAATAAAAAAAAGAATGCATCAAAGAAAAAAATCTCTCTTTTTTGAATGTGTTGTTTTGTTCCAAGATCTACAGTCTTGAGATCCAGCCAGTCACAATTTTCCCTGCCTAGCATTAGGGTTGTGGGTTTTTGAGACACCCTCCCTGCCCAGAGGCTCCTCTGTCTATTCACTCCAGACTATGGTTACCGTCCAAGTCAAGGTAACCACTGGTAGATGGGAAATTCGTTCTGCCCTCTGGTCTTGGCTGGATGTAGGCTGTGGGGCAGAGGTTTGGCTTAATATGGACAGTTCCAGGGTCTGGTGGCTCCCTTCTATCCCCAGGTGTTGTCCTTGTCCAGGATTGGCTTGCTTGGTTATTCCTTGCCTCTGCTGCCCTGTGCCAAGGGGAAGGGAAGTATAGAGCTGGCTCAGAGTTGGTGGATGTTCTTGCCCTTGCTGGGGTGGGGGGTGGGGCTGCTTGCTTGCATGTAGCAGGGTCCATGCTTTCAGCACAGGCATAACTCTAATAAATAAATAGATGTAATATTTCAATTTCATTAATATTATTTAAGATTTAATTATTTTGCTTTTTGGTCTTTATGATTCTTGTTTTGGAATCACTCAGAGAAATATTTAAACAACTTTGGAGAATTTAGCAAGGAATGATAGTAGTAACAAACGTAAAAGTATTAATAATCATCACCACTTATTGAGTATTTACTATGCATCAGACACTTAGCATACATTATACTATTTAACCTTTATGACAAACCTATCAAATAATTATTCCCAATTAACAAGATAAGAAAGTGAGGCTCTAGAAGAGGAGGAAGAACACTCCTAGAAGCAAGTGTCTGGCTTGCCTGTAGTCCCATGAACTGCTAGTGTTACAGATGAATTTCAGTTGTTTTGCTGTAAACTCTGGACCTTTATAATTATTTGTGTCTGTTTGTTTGTTTTGACATGTAATTCAGGCTGGCCTTGAACTCGGTTCCTCCGGCCTCAGCCTCTGGAGTGCTGGGGTTGCAGGTGTGTGCTACCATGCCTAACTAAACCCTGGACTTTGAAAATGAGTAGATCTGGGTCCACACCCTGACTCTACTGGGCGAGCAGCTAGCTGTGCCACCACATGCATGACCTGTCACCCCTCTGAGCCTTAGGGCTTTCACCTGTAAAATCTGTGTAATGACTTCCCTCAATCCCTCAGTTGAAGAACTGAAATGAGAAAATCGTATGTAATATGCCTTTCACCAGTCCTTCTGAGAGGGTTGGCTAGCTGTCCAGCTCTACCACAGCCCTCTTTATCCTGCTCACCCAGTGTGGAGGCAGCTGTGAGAAAACTCTAACCCAGGCCCAGCCAATCTTAGTAAGGAGGAGCAGGAGCTCTGGCATGCGTGGAGACCGCACCCTGGGAGAGGCAGGCAGATCCTCCTTCCTTTGTGTGGGAGGTGGGGGCGTGGCTTTCAGGGCTATCTCTGCCTCTCAGAGGCTTGGGAGGAAGACAGTCCGGTGTGGCCCTGCTCATCTGCCAGTTCCCTCTGCTCCTGCCGGTCTCCACCCGTACCAGCCATGGGAACTCTCGCTGGACACTTGCTTCCAGAAGTGTTCTTACTCCTCTTGGCACTGTACTATTCAGTGTTACTATCCCTGGCCCTGCTATGGGGACAGAGGTCCTTCAAACCCACTCTGCCCCCAAGGGAGAAGCGAGGACGCAGTCTGTGGCACTGGGTACCACTGGAGGGAATGTTGAAGGTGTTTTTCACTTTTACTGGCATCTTAGGTGAGCTCTTCTACCCCCCAGGGGCAAACCGGACGAGGCTGGTAGACTGGGGCGACCCTCAGCGGCCGTTTTTGTTCAAGGACAGCTGGCAGCACATCACCATGTACTCCTTCTTTATGTTCAGTGGGGTGGTGGACATCGTCAGCCAGAGGTTATCTGGCCCGGCAGAATGTGAAGTTGGAGCGGGCAGCCGAGGCCCTGGCCTTCTACGTGGTGGTGCTGCTGATGGCTGCCCACATTGAGAACAGGAGCACCCTGGAGATCCGAGTGCACATCCTGTTCATGGTGCCCACCTTCCTGGTAGCCCTGATGCTCAACATCGAAGTCTGGGTCCCAGACCAGCCCCCAGTCTGGGTGTTCAAGACCTGGATGGGGCTGGTGCTCAGCAGCTGGCTGCTGCAGCTGTGTGTGGTGTTGTACACTCCTCCCTCCGGACAGCCCTGGCGGACCAACAACCCCACGGACATGGCCTTCCTGACCACCTTCTTCTGCTGGCACCTGGGCTTAATGGCTGTCCTGCTGGCTGCTATCTATGGCCTCTGCAGCCTCTGGTTTCGTCACTACCCTTCCTGGATGGGCTGCGCAGGGGCCACGTACAAGACGTGTCCCACCGAAGCCAGCAGTGAAGAGCTGGAGAGGCTCAGGGAGGAGGATGAGCTGCAGAATGGAGGTGTCTAGGTACAGAGGCTTCTTTGTGCTTTGTCCTCTGGGATGAGTTTCAGGCGCTTGAAATGTTCTGGAATCCAGAGTGTGGCTTTCTGTCCGGTGTTCCCAAATAAACCTCCCAGGTGCAAGGACGCCTTTTATCTGTCACTCTGTTGTCCTTGCCTGTTTCATCGCTCGCAGCGTTCCTGGCCACGCGCGTGCGGGAAGGCAGAGCAAGGAGGAACGCTGTGGGGGCCCAGAGGAAGGAGTGAGGGGATGGAGGAGGAAGTGGGCGGGCACCCAGGAGGACTGGATCTGCTCCGGGTCAGTGCGCGCCTGAGCCTGCGGTGGGAGTGGTGCGAGCTGGGAAAGACAGAGGGCTCCTTGGTGCACAGTGGTGAGAGCCTCTCTTCCTCTTTAGTTTAGATCCGCATCAAGCGTAGCAGGATCACTTCTCTGGCTTTTTTTCTTTTTAGAAAACGGAGACAACAAGGTTCTGGGTTCAATCCCCAGTACAAAGCAAAACAACCAAAACAGAAGGAAGCTACTTCCGTCTCCTGAGAAAATAAGAGGTTGCTGGTGGGGTGGGAGGCAGGATGGGGCCATCGGTCTCACCAGGGCTTAAGTCCAGAGGAAAAGGGCCAGGGAGGAGTTCCCAAGGTAGTTGTGAGACGCGAACATTACTGAAATATGACTTTCAGGGGTCTGGGTTTTGCTGTGGTGACAACCACTGCATCCTTCCACTCCTGTGGTGACGTCCACTGCATCGATGACGTCCTGTGTGCACGATTCTCTCAGGAACCAAGGCCGAGGTGCACATCTTCGTCGGGGGCCGCAGGGGAGCAACTGCCACGAAATCGGTGGTAGCTGGGAGAGGTGCCAGTGACTCTCTATTCGCTTTTATTTTGCTTTTCCTCACTGGGACGGGACCTGGTGCCTCACACGTGCTATGCAAGGTATGGACCACTGAGTTACATCCCCAGCCCTTGTTTCTCTCTGTGCTTGGTCAGTGCTGGGGTCGAAGGCGGTGCCTGGGGCGTGCTGGGCAAATGCGCTACCACTGAGCCTCCCCAGCCCTGCACGCTTCTGGAGACTGGAGCACTCAGTGAGAGAGGACCCGAGGGCGTCAGAGACCCAGCCATCTGCAAGAGCTGTGAGCCAGTCAGAAAGCCGTTTCTTCTGAGGGCAGGAGCAGGCCGAAGCGAGATGGAGACACCAGCGTTTGGAAGGGTAAAGAGGCAGCAGAAGGGAGCCCACGCTGGCCAGGGACGTAGACAGAGAGCCCCGGAGAGAGGATCCCACCACGAAGCTGTTGCACTCACACTGCTCCCCGGGCAGCCGGAAACCCTCTCCTTGGAGAAGGGAAAGTTTCGGGGAGCACAGAGGTGGACAGGGTGGCAGGTGAGACGGCTGCACACTGTAGTCTGAGGATGCAGCTGACGCCCTGTGGACAAACACACAGGGCACAGACTTGGGCAAGGGATCCCTGAGAGAAGGGGGCGAGGGTAAGAAGGGCTGGGGTCTGGCGCCTCACTCTGACCAGCTTAACACGGGGACTCGGGACCTCAAAGGAGGCGAAAGGTGTCTCCTCATCAGCTGGAACCGGGCCAGTGCCAGCTTCCCTCCCCAGAAGAGCAGGAAGCAACTCAGGGAGAGGCCGTGCTCTTCCTCTGTCCCCACCCCAGACCCACCCTGAGATTAAGAAAGCGTGTGCTTCTAGGAACCTCACTTTATGTGTCCTGTTCAGGGCCCTGGAAGGTTCCCACGATCACATCTCACTGCAAGTTGGCGTCTCACCGAAGATCTGCAGAAGTGAGGCTTTTGTCGTTGTTGTATTCATTGTCCTAAAGGGGGTCCTCCAAAATCTGTCAGCTTTAGGCTCTGCAAAACTTGGCTGTGCCCTGGCTCTGGGACCTTACAGGTTACTTTCAGGATGCCTTATGATTAACACAGAACTGCAGTTGTTGGAACATTCTTCATTGGAGAACAATGCTAAGCGTCTTCCTCCTCCAACCTTAGAAGAAGAGGCTTAAAACCTTAATTACTTTGTCGGTGGGAATGTAAATTTTTACAACCCCTATGGAAATCAGTATGGAGTTTCTTCCACAAACTAAAACTAGATATTCTCTTGGATGCAGATATTCTCCTTCTAGGTATCTTCTAGAAACAGTTAAGACATCATACTACAGTGATCCATTCAGGTCCACGTTTATAGCAGCACAACTCATAATAGCTAAATTTGGAAGGAAATGTGGTATTTACACACAATGGAGTACTACTCAGCCACAAGGGAGGATAAACTTGAGTCATTTGTAGTAAAATAGATGCATGTTAAGACCATGATATTGAGGGAAATAAATTAGTCGTGCAAGCTTGGATATCATATGGCTTCTCTTATATGAGAAACCCAAATTATAATTAAAGAACCAAATGAAAGATAGATAATAGGAAGTAGGAAGATAGATCTTTCTTAAATGTGAAAGGAATCAAGAGGTGGAAAAAAGTGAGAGGGAGGGGAAGGAAAGGGATGTAAAAAGATTTACAATGTGTAAGGTAAGGCAGGGGATTTATTTAGCTCAGTGGTACTGTGCCTACCTCACAAGTACAAGATCCTGAGTTCGATTAAAAAAAAAAAAAGATGTGTAATGTACATGTACTAACTCCCCACGATGAATGTAAGCATCTTGTGCTACAAAATGTACTAATAGAAATAAAAATTAAATATAAGCAAAAACCCCCAAACCCAAATTTTTTTAAAGTAAGGAGAAATAAAACCAGACCTCCTGAGTCAAAATAGGGAAAGTTTTAGGCAGATCAGTTCTCTCATATTGATGATATTGATAGCCCTCATTTTGCTCAATTTCCCCTCCTCTCCAAGATTTTTAGGTCTGGTAAGTTTTTACCCTTTCATGACTTGTACTTTTCTTCCCATTCACTAAGTGTGGTCACATTCTAGCCATCTGTTCTTTGGAATTCTTTTCTTTTTTATCTACCATGGTAGGCACAGCGAAGGGAAGATCATCTCCTTTTAGGAGTCATCTTAGTTCTACTGTGTACTCCCCCCACCCCCACTTTTTTTGGTACCAAGGATCGAACTCAGCACCTTGTGCTTGTGAGGCAGGTGGCAGTGTTTACCCCTTTTTAGGCATCAAATTTTTATTTATTTTTACCTCTTTAGAAGGAACATCCATCAAATGTCACCACACCTAGGAAATGTTTTAGACATGAAAGTGTCCAAGACATCATGAAAGCATGAGATGAATTCTTTAACTGGTTTTCAGAGGCATCTAAAGGATGAAGTGAATCAAAGACGGTCTCGACAAGAGGTTCCTCAGAGAAGGCAAAACATTGTTAGAAAAATTGTTAGAGTATTTTTCATAAATAATACTAAACACATTTGCCATATGGGCAAGAAATATTGTTCCATTGGCCAGAAATACAATTCAGACCCTAATATATTTTTTAACTTAACATTTTTTATTAGTACATGTTTGCAGTACATAATGATCGTACTCATGGTGGGGGATTTGTATGTGCACATAACACATCTTAATTCTTTTTTTTTATTCTTTAATAAATTAGTGAACTTGTATTATTGCAACTGACATATGGCTAACATTTTAGAATGAGAGCTATAAAATCTGTTTCTGACAGTATATTTGTGTATGTTTAAATAATATATGTGATATTTTCTGTTTTATCCATAATATCATAAAATTAAATTATAAAAGACCTTGATTTAATTGGCTTTAAGTAAAATAAATGGTTATATAAATGAAGTATTCTTTCAAAAAAATGGGAGCTCACCTGAAAGTATTTTTAGTACTTATGACTTGGGAAATTTTTGGTAGGTTAAGAATATTACTTTATTAAAACAAGTGTATATTCAGAGTTTTTAGTGTTAAATAAAATATAGATGTATGACTTTTCCTACCTAAGTTAACTGATAAAATAAGCTTATGTTACCTGTATATTACAAAATGTGTCAAAAATAAAAAATAAAATGGTGACTAGGTATTTAATGCCTCATTTTTATAAGCAAGCCAAGCAGAATTGTTAAAAATAAGTGAAGCTGAGCACAGTGGCACATGCTGATAGTCCCAGCTGCTTGGGATGCTGAGGCAGGAGGATTGCTTGAATCCAGGAGTTTAAGACCAGCCTAAGCAATATAGTGAGATTCTGTTTCTAAATAGAAAAATAAACAAATAAATAAGTGCCTTAAACAGATGTAAGAGAAAATTCCAGTGTAAAAGATGTCCTTTCTATATGCTAGAAAGTTTTGTTTTTGTTTTGTTTTGGAGACAGGGTCTCACTGTGTAGTTTAGACTGTTCTAAAACTCACTGTGCAGCCCAGGCTGGTCTTGAACTCGAAGTGATCCTCTTCCTTCAACCTCCTGAGTGCTGGAATTATAGGCATGCGCCACGCCTGTATGCCACAAGGTTTTAATGTTCTTATAATCAAGAATGGAAAATTAAGGCTGGCGGAAATCTATATAAACAACAATTTAGTTTTCAGGCTTTGCCAAAACAAAACAAAATACTATGAAAGAACACAATAAGCAAGACCCCTAAGAAGATAGGTACGATTTTGTCTAACTCACAGTCTTGTTACAGAGATTCTAAAAGCTATCTGAGACTCTTAGTAAGCATATCGTGTGTCACACTTATAAGTTAAACTGTAAGAAAGCACCTGCTTCTAGAAATTATGATTCATAGATTGGTGACTTGTGAATTGTGGGTGTGACAGTTCACATTTGCTTTCTGGAATCTAAAGTCATGAAATTAAAGGTAAGAAATCTAATTAATATGTGTATGCAATTAAGATCATTAGAAATAATCAGGGAAAACTGCATACAAGTATACAAGGAAGGTAAGACATGGCTTCAGTAAAGAAGAGCAATGAGTTGTAAGGATATTTTGTTTTGTTAGAAAAAAAAGAGTAATTTTTGCCTTAAAGCAGAATGGTTGTTTGTTGTAAAAGGAGAAGAGGAAAAATACAGGACAAAACCCAAATGGATGGTAAAGCGTAGGAAGTTTGTGCAAGAAGGATCTTGTGAGATGAATTTTATGTGTGGTCAAGCTGGCTAAGATGAGAGGAAATTATACATTTCCTAAAAACTGAATATTAATATCAAAAGTTTGATGCAAACTGGAATTTGGTGTTCTCTTTAAACCACAAGATTTTCTTGGAATATTGGTCTGCTTCTCTCTCTCTTTCTCTCAGCTCTGGGGTTTGAATCCAGGGCCTTTACACTTAGCTACAGCCCCATCCCGGTCCCTTTTTACTCTTTATTTTGAGACAGGGTCTTGCTAAATTGCCAAGTATCCCACGCTGGACTCAAATTTGTGATCCCTCGGCCTCAGCCTCCCAGAATGATTGGGCTTATAGGTGTGCATCACCATACCCGGCTTGGTCTGCTCTTAATAGGAAGTTGTAAAAAGGTTTTGTTGTTGTTGTTGTTGTTTTACTTCTTAGTAATTGGCCTATGAAAAAAGTTCTTGTACTTTACTAAGATAATTTCCTGTGCTTTTTTTTTTTTGTGTGGTACTGGTGATTGAACTCATGACCTTGTGCTTGCAAGGCAGGCACAGTGCCACTGAGCTAAATCCCTGGTCCTTGTGTTGTTTTTATTAGGCTTTAAAAAAATCACCCAAAACTAATTCTTCTGTATTAAAAGAGCTAAGATTTTCTACAACTGTGTAACTTTTTATTTTTGCCTTGGAAATCTTGGAATTATCATCTTGTCCACACAAGTGTTGTAGGCAACAGAATGAACAAATTTCCCTTGTTGATTACAACAACCTGTTGAAATGAACTCTCGTCAGTTATTGAGTCATGACCACTTTAAATCTTGTCATTCACAGAGTGTTGTTTATTCTGGGACTTTCCTGAACCTAAAGTCTTTTGTCTTCAAGGAGAGTCATGCAAAAGACTCTGATAAGTACAGGTTTCTGATAGCTCTAAGATCATATCATTGGGCTGGGTAGGAATTCCCAGAGATCTAGTGAAGAAAATGACTCAAAACTGGCAACACAACATCAATCACAGGAGCAATTAATTAAATATCAAGGAAATGACTTGGCTGATTTTCATGCTATCTGAGCCAATATTGAAATGTTAAGGTGTGCAATGTGGGTGAACTCTATTGTAATAGATCCAAATCAAATCACCTATGATAAGAAATGATATTGGAAAAACAAAATTGGTATTTAAGAGGATGTAAATCTGGAGCTAAACAAGGACTCACAGAACATGAGGACAGCCACCTAACCCTTCCGGAGTCTTTACTGCTTACACACTAAGGGATCTGCACTCTGTGGTGAGTCATGGAAGGTGCAAAATGATCTAAAATATTGACAAAGCGAGTCTCTAAAATTGCTACATCTGGGAAGATGAGGCAGGAGAATTGCAAATTTGAGCCTAGCCTGGGCAATTTAGTGACTCAGCAAGACCCTGTCTCAAAACAAATGACCACAACCACCACCACCACCAACAAAAATCCCCCAAAACAATAACAACAATCAAAACACACACACAGACACACACACACACACACACACACACACACACACACACGGCTGGAGATCTAGCTCACTGTGAAGGTTCTGGGTTCAATCCTAGTATTGCAAATATTGATTAATTTATGTTAAAATAAAATCACTAATAGTTTTATAACCAATGTTTGGTTTTTAAAATTCATAATTCTAATTAAGAAAATAAAATGCCACACAATACTCTTTTGGCACCTGCTGAATCATCTGAACAGACTCATACCTTTAATGCATGTTTTCAGGTTGTATAGAAATTTCCCCATGCACAGGAAGGCTGGTGCTATAACAGTAGCTAAAAGGCTATTAGAATATATATGTCCCTTATGGGGCATTCCTAGAGAAATCTCAGTGATAGAAATAAGTATTTGATTGGACAGATTGTAAAATAGTTAAAGTATTATAAACACGGTAGCATTAAGCAAAATTAACTAACTAAATTGGAGAACCTTGGCCAAAAGTATTACCAGTTGATGGCAGTCAGGTTCATTTCCACTTGGAAACATAGAATAACTCCTGATGAAATGGTTACTGGAGGGCCAGTCCTCTGATATTAGAACCTCATGTATTCACCACTCTTGTAAACTCTGACTCAGTAGTGCAAGGGTTTAATGCACCATCACAAAGCCGA